AGAATAGAATAGAATAGAATAGAATAGAATAGAATAGAATAGAATAGAATAGAATAGAAGGAAGAGACCTTGGAGGTCTTCTAGTCCAACCTCCTGCCTAGGCAGGAAACCCTACACCACTTCAGACAAATGGTTATCCAACATCTTCTTAAAAACTTCCAGTGTTGGAGCATTCACAACTTCCGGAGGCAAGTTGTTCCACTGATCAATTGTTCTAATTGTCAGGAAATTTCTCCGTAGTTTTAGGTTGCTTCTCTCCTTGATTCATTTCCACCCTTTGCTTCTTGTCCTGCCCTCAGGTGCTTTGGAGAATAGTTTGACCCCTTCTTTGTTGCAACCTCTGAGATATCAGAACACCGCAGTCATGTCACCCCTATTAGTCAGTTGAATTTGAAGGGTTTGCATGAGATCCTTGAAGGTAAATTACCCACCTGCCCTGCAATATGACTGAGTAAAATCTAACAGGTGTATTTCAAATGCAGTATATTATTGTGCAACACCCACTCACTCACTCTGTGTGTGGGGGGTTGTCTACAGGATACAAACGAAATATTGAAATGGTGTCCAAAACAGTGTGATCCAAGCCTTACCTTTTTAAAATGTGCAATACATATAAAAGGCAATCAGGTTTTCAATTAGGCTACCTTGAATTTTGTGGCCGTGCCCTAGGGCAGCATTTCTGAACCTTGGCAGCTTTCAGATGTGTGGATTCCTTGCTGGCTGGGGAATTCTGGACATTAAAGGTGACACATCTGAAAGCTGCCAAGTTTAAGAAGCACTGCCCTTAGGGCATGACACTGCTTTTCATATAAGGCACATAATTCTGCCAGGTATAGATCCTGCAACATCCGTTTTGGGGGTGGGTGGGTGGTGGAAATTAAATGTATGAATTGATTTAGAATGGTGGCCAACATATACCACATAGGAGAAAATGAATTCTGCTATTGCAGTCTGTCTAGATATCAGTTTAAGGACACCGCAAAAATTGATTTTTCTGCTGGATTTCTGGATCCAAGCCCTGGATAATTTCTATATATTCCTTATTCCTACCATGGACACTGGCCATGCTGGTGAAGAAGTATGGGAATTGTAGTTCAAGTTTGGGATAAGTTGCTTTTTAGGAATTGCTAAATTGCAGAAAAAGAAAACTAAGAATAAAAGGATAACCCTTTCAAGGGAGGAAATCTCACAAGGTTGTGTATTAGGACTGGTGCTTTTTAACTTGGTCATACTAGATCCTAGTTTAAGGATAAGTAGTAAGATGGCCAAATTCATGGATTGTAGTGAGATCCAATGGCAACTGTGAAGAGCTCCATAAAATCCTCTTTAAAACATTAGACTTTTATCAAACAAATTGATGCGATTTGTTTGATAAATGTGGTTCCACTGAAGGAAGTGTAAAGTGATGCACATTGGAGCAGAAATATATAGAATACATATTGTATAATACTGTATATAAAGAGTGGGAAACGATCAGACGATCCTTCCCTGGTTTGAAAACATAAAAAGGTAGTCCAAAGAAGATGCTTCTTCATGCAAGCTATAGTTGATACATGAGAAATGAGGATGGTCATTGACTTGGCTTTGTAAGTAGACTAGATAAATTCATAGGGATATAGGTCTATTGAGAGCTGTGAGTGAATACAGGTTTCCACACGGGTGGCAGCTTTTGCCCAAATACCAATTTGAAGCAGAATACTGATGATCAAAGATGGTAAACACGCTGGAGATACCTGGCTAGCTCCTGTGAGAAACAAACATCTGGACTCAGGGGAGTCATGGCAAGATCCAGAGGTGCTATTTTTATGCTCTTGAATCATATGGAGGGCTAGGGATGGCTGTATTATTGAAGCAGATGAGAATTTATCTCCACCACCACCACTCCCGTTAGCTCTTTTCTGCCTTCCGCCAATTAGATCCTCAAGTTATGATTCCCGTTTTATAAAAGGAACCATTCTCTTAGGGCAGGTGTCTCCAAACTTGGCAACTTTAAGACTTGTGGACTTCAACTCCCAGAATTCTCCAGCCAGCTATGCTGTGGAGAATTCTGGGAGTTGAAGTCCACAAGTCTTAAAGTTGCCAAGTTTGGAGGCTTCTGTCTTAGGGCATTTCCAGACTATCAAAACAAGGAATGGTTACTTTGATTGCATTATAAAATGTAATGTGGTCTATTATATGATAACTGGGTATATATCCCGTAGGTACTATCGAAGGAAGTCTTTTGAGTTAAGTTTCTAGGGTAGCGTTTCTTAAACTCCGCAAGATATGTGGACTTCAATTCCCTGAATTCCCCAGCCAGCATTTAACTATACAAGTCCTTTTTTCCCCCCTTCCATCCACCGATGTCCAATTCTCAAAGATTGCCTGGACAAGTCCCTGAAATTTTGTTGGGACAGGTTTTCCCGAAGTGGTTTCATTGCCTCCTTCTTAGGACTGAGAGAAAACGATTGGCCTAAGACTACCCAGTTGGCTTTGTGCCTAAAGCAGGACAAGAAGTGACAGTCTCCTGCTTTCTAGCCAGATGTTTTCTTTAACCCTACACCAACCTGGCTCTCATTCAACTCTAGTCCTAAACTAAAATCCAAAATATACTGGAAGGATATTGACACAATGGCTGGCTTATTCCATTGTACGTTACCTCAGTGAAATTACCTTGGTGCTATATTGTGTGGACTCACATTATGAGAACTATGAACTATAATAGCTAGGGATTCACCATGTGTGAATCCAAGCCAATTATAGGTATCAATTATTAAGCAAGCCACAGCTTAATGGCAGGTTGTTCTATCATACCCCGAACTTTCACAATATTTCCCTCAAATGTGAGTATATGTAAGGCCCATTATTATTTAATCTTTGCAAATTAGTTGGGTTTTTTTTTTTAATCTGCTTGAGAGAGATGAGTCTTATTTCATCACTGCAACTAGATATGGAATTACAATCCAGACGGAATATATTGCAAGAGAAACATTTTTTAATTTTAAAATCAATGATGTGGACCAAACACTTAAAAATTGCACAGAATCAGGAAATTGAATATTGTAGAATCTATTCAATCAAGTACTTGAAGCTTCCATTTCTTATGGGGTGGTAGAGGGGAGGGGGGAGTAGAATTCTCCATAGCAAATTTACTTTGAGGCAATGAAAAAAAGTGACATTAAAACATTTTGGCTCTTAAATTCTTACTTGCTAAATTTTATAGTGCAGCAGTTTTTTAGCATTATAACTATTTGCATTTCTTCCTGATGCTCGTTCCTTTGAACCCAAATGAACATTCCTCTTTTGAAAATAGTGTTTTGTAAATGCCAAAAAGGTATAAAAAAATACAGAGATGAATTCTAGGGACTGTAATTCCGATATATCTGGGAGCCATATGGTTACTTTCAAAATTTGGAACAGGCTCCCTCTGCTGATGCCGCAGCGTAAAACATTAGCCTGTTTGAGCCCTGACTTGCAGACACCAAACTGGAACATCAAAAAGGCTGATACAGCACATTCCATGAATGGGCCATTCAACCTAGTCACTGCTCAAAACAGCAGACACGGATTGTGGACTGTTCCCCAATTCCGCATCCTGTTATGGAAAAACTTGCATACAAAAAGCAGCTTTCCATTCACAAGAATGCTAGAGAGCAAACGATATTTGCAACTAGAGATAAGTGCAAATAAGTATTGCTTGAGCTGCACACAACTGCGCATCATCTTGATAGGATCAAATCAATCCCTCGGAAGTTTTCCTGGAGGTTCTCATTCTCAGAATCGATTAAGCACGAAGGAGAGAGCCCACAGCCATGACAGTTCCCCTTCTTTAATGTAGGATGACTTTTCCTGTGACTCTGGAATTTCCTGGGCATTAAGGACAGCAGCGTTTGCGTGGAGGAGAGGGCTGAGGATGTACCTGAAGCAAGATGACAAGACTCTCATGGTCACAAGGCAGATTGGTTGGAGGTTTCAATGCTCACTATTGTTTTTTCCACAGGTCGCCATCAAAGGTTATATTCTCAACATGATAAAACATGACTTACCAAACTGGGTTCATACAAGATGAGTTTGGCTTTCTGCAGTGTGTGAGCTCAACCAAGGTTGTGCAAAAGTAACAGCAACTTGTTTTTAAAGGTACACAGGAAAGTCATGGTTTAACAGATATTTAAACTAGGCATTTGAAGAGGCATATGATGAACCAAATAGTTGGAAGCATTAAAGTTTCAGTCGGCATATTTCAGAAGCAACAGTTTAGAAAATCTGGGCAAAGTAGAGCTTTAATAAGTGACAAGAGCATAATATTTTTTTTACTTGAAAATTTATTGAAAAATGCAATACAAGATTGAACACATGTCTAAATGCTACATCTAATTTCTCTTTAACTACAAAAGTCCAAAATAACAACTACATAAACTATAAAGATTTGCTAATTGTTTATTGTTCCTACTTTTATTAAAAAGAACAAACTATTCTATACAGTTGTCTTAAAAAAATTTACAAAGCTCCTTCATATCTGCAGTGAAATAGTGTGATTTAATGTGTAAAAAAGAGAACCAACCCCGCCCCCCATAATTAGAATACATTTTTTAAAAACTGCCCCTTGTATGAAAATGGAAAAAAAATCACAGTTTATGAATCCCCAACACCCACTCAAGTCCCCAAAGTTAATTTGTACTTTAATCGTTGGCAAGTGAAAATCTTCTATTTTTTTACTTTCTTAATTTGACCAATTTGGATACTGCTGCTCTTCCTTCTGTACACACATTCATAGATAAATAGCTTCCATTTACTATACAGTTAAGAGTGTTTCTAGATAATCTCATAAATGGGGAAGGAAATAACTGGGAGCATAGTCATTTCATCATTATAAATAGACTATATTTTATTTACTGCTCCAGTAATGGCAGTGCTGGTCCCCAGAAAACGAGAATGCTAGAAACTGGTTTATTTTGTGATCTGTTAAGGTGATGGTGGCAACTCTGAGATTGTGAGTACAAGCAACCTACAAATTCTTTTCCTTCTCAAAACATGAAAATCCCGATTGTCAATGGCAGACAGTTCAGGCCACGTTTCTGGTATCCCAAAACTATATTGTTTTCATTGTGTCTGCTATGGAAAGTTAAATTAGCTTGGCAAATGCATTTTAAAAGGATTTATTAGCTCCTTTTTATTTCCCCAGCATGCTTGGCTATGCAAAATAAATATTGCTCACTTGCAGGATACAAGCAGCCAGGAGGAAACAAACTCACAACTCTTGTTCAGTTACAAAGGCTGCCAGCAGGAGTGTGAAGCTATAAGCTCAGGTAGTAAACAGAAGCCTCCTTCGCAACAGAAAATGGATTTACACTATATGCAGGAAGAAATTTCAGAAAATAAAATAATCACTATGCTGCAGCAGCCCCAGGATTTACATTCCTAAGAGGTTTAAGAGGACCCTTAAACTCTTTCAGCCTTTGCTGGTGTAGTTTAGTTTTATAGTTTTTGGACAATAGGTAATAAAAGCTGGCAGGAGTTGTTGCAAAATTAGACTGCCAGTCAAAGGAAGGTGTGTATATGCATATTGTTAAGGGATTTTTTAATGTTTCGTTACAATAATCAGAAGCAGAGTATAACATAACATAAAAATAGCACAATCATTTAGGTTCATTGGGGTAGCCAACTATGTCAACTTTAAGACTTGTAGACTTCAACACCTAGAATTCTGGGAATTGAAATCCACATGTCTAAAAGTTGCTAAGGTTGGACACCCCGATGTATATCTTGTAAATCAGCTTAATCTGCAAAAATATGAAGTTTTTCTTTCTTTATCATGTTTTTACCTTCAGGCATACTCAAAGGAAGGTGGGGGTCTTATGCCTGGCCATGAGTAGGAAAGCAGAACTTTTATTAAACTCCTGAGTTCAAATTGCCTTGCTAATAAATACATAGAAAAAAAGAAAATTTGAATGACCTTTACTTTTCTTTCTCTCAGGAATACGGCTGCCTTGTTCCCCGGCTGCAATCTTTACCCTTTTATGTTCTAGAATAGTTTTTCATCTTTTCCACTCATTTGTGTCCTGTGATTTTGAGCATTTCTTGAAACTAACATATTCCTAAGTAGTATTTAGGAAAACATAATCCTAAATACTTACACATACTGCTAAATGAACATTTTTTTGCTTCTGATTACTGTAAAAGGAGGCAAATAACGATACAGTGCAGATATACCATCTTACCTTGGACTTCCTTATTACAGTCTAATGCAACACTTATCGCAGATTTCATTTAGTAGATAAGCTAAAAATCAGAGAAAGGAAAGATGGGACTCATCTATTGCACAACACAAAAAAATGGGTGAATCAGTGAAATTAATCCTGGTGCATGAATGAAAATGGAATTCAAAGGTAAGGCGGTAGAAAACTCTGAAAATGGGAGAGCAATAGATGTAAAGGCCAGGAAGAGGTGCAATCTGAAATGCATTCCCCTCATCGTGTAAAGGTAATTGTCTTTTAATGAGGGATTCACATTCCATGCAAGAAAGTGTAGGTTAGCTAAGCAGAGCAGAACATCACTGGCTAGCTGTCCATAGTGTACAAAAATCATGCTCAGTTACAGCTGGTGAAAGGGCAACACCTGTCCTGAGAAATCATACGGAATACAAGCTTCATGAATAATAGAATTCCATAATAAATAATAGAATTCTTTCAAAACTGCTTTGAATAAAAGAGCAATAAAATCAGCAGAAATATTAATATTTTGCACCAGACCAAGTGTACCAATCAGTTGTCTTCCACAATAAATAGCTAGTTTTGTAATAAATACATTAAGTGCCCAGAGTTTATTCTAGTTCAGTGTAATATTGTTAGGAAGCTTACTTACTCTACTGCTTTCACAATTACTTTCATTAATTCTATTACAACTCAATCCTATGTTTATTTTCTGGGGAGGTGGGGGAATCTGTTTCCAGATGGGCTTTCCTCTGGCATCAATCAGCAATCATTGGAAACATGATGTAATATTCAGAGCATATTAAAGCAAAACTGATCAAATAGCATTCCATCTCAAAACACTTCCAAAATGTCACAAACACTTCATTTTGAATGTAAAATTATGGTTTCAAGCTCAAATGGGATGTTTTGTATTTAAAATGTTTCACACACCATTATCTTTAAATCCTAAAATATTCCTACTGACTCTTTAATCAAAATGCACTCACGTTTGAGGGGGGAACGGAGCATGCAATATGACAGGGTAGCATTATGCCAAATAGTAAATGAAAGCTTTTATTTACTGAAATTCAGTTCTTCTAAGAAAAGGTAGAGCTGCTTCTTGTTGTATCTTGACAGAGCCTTCACATATTTTAGGAAAAAAGAACCACCCAACTAAATAATGGTCTATTTATTTTTGAAAGATATGGGAATTCCAAATTGGAGTCCGATCACTGAACATGCAGATTGCAATACACATAGAAAAGTGAAGTATTTTTAAAAAGAGTAGTCCTATCTGTCTTTTGTTTGAAAGTAATGTAAAATCAGTATTATCTTTCTTTTAAAAAACTCCCACTGACCCCTTTCATAAATTACTTATTGCTCTTTCTCTGAACACATTCCCCAGGTGGTACATACCGTAGCTTTCTATGAAGACAATATGTACAGTATTAAGGTGCTGAGGACAGCAACCAATGCCAAATTCTACTCTTTCGTTCTAATGTTAACAATGAAAATGCTAAGGGCATAATTTACCAAGTGCATCAACCTTTGTTCATGGGTCGTTGTTTCTGAGGGAAAGCAAGTTCTTTTATAAGAAATTCTAAATGATCTAAAGGAAACAAGGGAGAGAGATATAGCACCAGTGCACTATGGTTAGGGTTGCCCCCCAAAAAAACGACAGAGTACTGTCTTGCAAAAAGCATTATCTGATGGAAATTAATATATTCCCTCTCCAAATAATTTTTCACTGAGGAAACAAGACTCTGACTGATAGCCTCCGATACCATCCTCATGAAAGGAATGCCAGATTGTCTTTAACAACTGAATAGGAATTATACCTCTTATCCAGATACATTGCCAGAGCTCTAAATTTAGCTTTTGTTCAAAAAGAATGATTTTAAATCTTTATTTGCCTCCCCCCCCCGCACAAAAAACAAACAAAAAATAAACAAAATCCTCACTGAAACCTACAAATGACTATGGGGTAAAAAAAAAAAACCATGATAAATCGCAGCCTAACTTAATTGTGCTCAGGTCTCTTACTCTTAAACTCATAGCTTAATGGGGCTAAACAGCAGATAGGATTACAAGGAACATCTACCAAGGACTATGAAACAAAACAAAGGTGGAAGGAGAAAAGAGCGGATGAGAGTTGAATGCCTTACCACAATTCATTTAAAAGCTTTACAATTCACAGTATAAAAAAGCAACTTCCATTGTCCCTGAACCTAGGTAACTACTGAATTACTTATATAAACACCACAACCTCCGGATATGTTCAAGCATCTAAAGACAGACATATCCACAAAAGCGAAGGAAATGCACAGGTAACGTACGCTGTGGTTAAGATACTCTGGACATTTTATAGATCAACTCATCAAATTAAAGTTTTGCACACAGTGATTTTTCTGACAAGGGTGGCTACTTCTAAGTCACTGATATGTCACACAGTAACCTATTCAAAAGGTAGGAGAGAATGCAAGCTACTTGAGGAACAGAAAGGTGAATATCATCACACTTAAAGGCAACATTTTTGATAAGCCCCGTGTACTCTTTTTGACATCTTAATACAGATTCAGAAAATGACATAGGAAAAGAAAATGAAAAAAAAAATGATGTTTTTTTTTAAAAAAGCACAACAGCACATGTAAAATATGGCAAATTGTCGGTCACAATATTAAAAACAATGAAAAGGGACATATAGTATTAAAGATAATCCCAAGTAAACATCAAAAAGCATAACTTCCTAACAATAAATGATAGACTCTGTGATTGAGAATAAATCTGGCAAGTTTGAGGTCATGGTGTTCGAAAGTTCCTTTGTAGTTCTGCTGGTATATCTTGGGTGGCCTTCAAAGAATGAAGCAGGCAACACCTAGGAAGATACAAATTCCTTAATGAAAATGGACACACATTCAGTATCTTACAAAAATGTTTGTGAACTCCTGATACTCTGCAAATGGGACAGAATGCATCAATTATATAATATTTTCAATAATTGATTAATATTCATCTTCTAGAAAGTCTAAGCTTTTGTATAGCAACATAGAAAAATGCAAAAGCACACAATACACAAACAAAAATCCTGAACTAATAACAAGTATGCCTGGTTCAATTATTAATGATAAGGCTTAGCTGGCAATATAAGCCATCAAAAAAAGGCCAGTACAAATAAGCAAGTCTTCAACAATAGAAAGACCATTCCATATTCTGGGCAGCACAATTGACAGTGTCCTTCTTAGTGTGATTGCTGAATGAACATGAGAAAGCTGTGGCATAGTAGGAAAGACATTTTCTATGAAAAGCTAAATCCATGAGCCATGATGGTGCAGTGGATAGAATACTGCCCACTGCCAGGAGTTCAATTCTGACCTGCTCAAGGTTGACTCATCCTTCATCCTTCTGAAATGAGGTAAAATGAGGACCCAGATTGTTGGGGGCAATATGCTGACTCTGTAAACCGTTCAGAATGCACTGTAAAGCTTTCTTGAGCAGTATATAAGTCTAAGTGTCATAACTAAGTGTTATTGCTATGTGAAATAAATGTTACTAAACACATAAAATTTGCTGAAATGTGTCTAATTATGAGGATGAGAATATGAATGTTGAAGTGAGAACATAGCCATGTTACATTTGAGAAAAAAGTATCAATAATGACCACTCATCTTTGCTTTTCTTATTATATTATGTGCACAAGTGTTTCAAGGTAAAATTACTGTGATTAAGTTTGTATTTTAGATGATGTTTTAACTTTAAAAACCAGCTTTTTATTATATGATTATTTTTGATCTTTTTTCTTACTTTTGTCTGATAATGGGACATAACTGCAGAACAATAGGATAAAAAAAATTAAATAAGTACATAAAATCCACATGCCTGAAGGTAGCCTCCAAGGATACATAAACAGATGATACCTGTCTAGATATGTTTGCTCAGAAATGGCACTCTGGTCTGTTGCAATGCATACTCAAAATCCAGAAAACTCCCCCCCCAAACCCCCCCCGCCCCAGGTTCCCTAAATTGACCATAGGATTATTCTTCCATGGATAACATAGTTCTAAAATCTAAAGGTTTAAATCAGAACACGATGTTCTGTCAATACATGGAGTTAAGGATGCTTCCTAGCACAAGGGCTCAGTTCTTGTTCACTCATGCATGAAACGATTCTTCACTACCTGTACAGCTCTCGGCCTTTAAATGCTGGTGAGATAGCTCATTCATAAAGTGGTGCCTTGTTGAGAAACATTAGCATTGATCAAAAGGAAACAGGAGAGAAAAAAACAACAACAACCCCATACTATTTTGGTCCTTATGTACAACTAAATCACCATCAAACAGCATGTCAGGTGAAATGAATCTGTAGCATAAATAATCCATAAGAAGAAACACACAGACAATTTCTCAAATTAAATGGTGTGCTGAGGTTTCATGCCCAAGTTGTGCATTATCTCCAACTGCACTGGGAAGAACATGAATAATTAATTTATTCTTAGCTTTATCAGAAGTTTCAGGTAAGTTTCAAAATATTGTGATTGAGACGTCTACTGCAGGACTGAACAACGCAAGTGACTGTGAATGCCCTTTTGTTATTTTGAACAGATCACCCATAGCTGCCTGCCCTGGGCTTCCTCAACCCTGCCCTGCTCCAGGAAGGAAGAAACAGCCCTGCCTTCTACGAATTGAGTGCCGGGGGGGGGGGGGGGGCAGCTTGGGAGGCTGATCCCTGGCAGTAGGGGCACCCTGTGAACTTGCTGTCAGGCATAGCAACTACAAAGAGGGGCGGGCTTGGCTGAGCAGGATCCTGGATATTGGGCATGTGGTCAAAGCCCCCCTTCCTCTGCCTCCCCCTAGGTCAGGGGTCTGCAACCTTAAACACTCAAAGAGCCATTTGGACCTGTTTCCCACAGAAAACAAAACACTGGGAGCCCCAAGACGTGGGTGGGCGTGGCAACTCAATGGCACTCCCACTGAGTCACATGACCCCCCCAGGTTTTGTGGTTTTCTGTGTTTTCTAGGGGGAACAGGTTGCTCGCTCTCTCTCTCCTCCCTCCCTCTCCCATCTCTATCTTTCTCCCTCTCTCTCCCTCTCCTGCCTTTCCTTCTTCTCATCTCTTTCTTTCTCTCTCCTTCTCCTTCTCTTTCTCTCCTCTAACGCTCTCTCTTTCTCTCTCTCTATGCCTCTTCCTCCCTCCTTCTCCCCCTCTCCCCACCCCCCTTCCCAACTCCCACACCCAGGGAATAACTGTAAGGAAATTTGGCCACGTTCTTTCTGTTTCTGGAAAGATACAAAAATAAACCTTGCATTCCAAAGGGAGTTACAGTCAGGCTGTTACCTCACAGAGCTATGAGGTTGCTGCCTCAGATCACTGCTGAATCCTTACAAAACTGGGCAAAGACAGAGAGAGGGGAGCAGACAGAGCTGAATTGAACCAAATCTCTCTCCCTCCCTTTGTATCTCTCTCTCTGTGTTCCTCGCTCTCTCTCGCTCCCTGCCTGTGTCTCTTCTCACTCTCTCGGAAAGCCCTGCGTGCTCTCCTTGGGACTCTTCGCTGTCCCCTTTTCCTTCTTCCTTTTGAAAATCTGGGCTGGCTGAAGAATGAGAGGAGGAGGAGGGGGAGGAGAGAAACCTCCACCACGGTTTCCGCTCGTTCCTCAGCTAGCCCGAATTTCCAAAAGGAAGGAAGAAAAAAGGGATAGCGAAGAGCCCCGAGTGGAGCACGCAGGACTTTCCGAGAGTGTGAGAAGCTTCTTTTCTTTCTTCTTGGCGAGTTTTTGGAAATCCAGGTTGGCTGAGAAATGAACACAAGCCGTGGCAGAGGCTTCCTTCCCCACCTCTCCTCTCCTTCTCCTCTCGTGCGCAGCCTCCACAGCCGGCTCCATGACTGTTCGCTGCTCTTGCAGCACCTGTGCAGCACACTCAAATTTAGTGCACTTTACTCCATCCCCTCCTCCTCCTCCTGGAGCCCATTACAATGTGATGCATCAGAGCTGCCGCATTCGAGGAGCCGGCTCCGGAGCAGTGCAACATTCAATGGGGTGACCCTGCAGGGCCTCGAACGCCCCCTGCCACCTCTTAGCGCCCCCCTGCCAGCCCCCTTGCCTCTTAGCACCCCCCTAAGGCATCCCACCGCCCCCCAGGGGGCAGTACCGCCCACTTTGGGAACCACTGATCTAAGTGCTAGAGCCCACTGTAACTACATAGCCAAAAAGGCATTTGGAGTTGTTAATCTAATCCTACGTAGCTTCTTCTCTGGTAATATCACACTACTAACTAGAGCATACAAAACTTTTGCTAGACTTATACTTGAATACAGCTCATCAGTCTGGAACCCATATCATGTATCTGATATTAATTGAAAAAGTCCAGAAATATTTCACAAGAAGAGTTCTCCACTCCTCTACTCATTGCAGAAGACCTTATGCCACCAGACTTGAAACTCTAGACCTAGAAAACCTACAACTACGCCACCTCCAGTCCAATCTAAATATAGTATATAAAATCATACAAACCTATCTGCAAATGAATACTTCAGCTTCAATCGTAACAATACAAGAGCACACAATAGATACAAACTCAAGGTTAACTGAACCAAACTTGACCAAACTTGAAATACGACAGCAACAGAGTGGTCAATGTTTGGAATACTCTACCTGACTCTGGGGTTTCTTCCCCAAACCTTTAACCTTAGACTGTCTACTATTGACTTCATCCCCTTCCTAAGAGGCCTGTAGGGGGTGTGCATAAGCACACCAATCGTGCCTACCGTCCCTGTCCTATTGTTTCTTTTTATTTTTCTTATAAGTATCTATCTCATGTATTCAAAACTGTTTATTCTTATACCTGTATCTTGTAAGCGATAGACAAATCAAATAAATATTAAAATTAATCCTAAACATTCATTGCTACCACTTTTAAACATTAGTGGGAGGCTAAATTTCAAGGGTACTTATGATTCACAATTAGAATCAGAAACAGGCTACTATTTTAAACATTCTTGTTTCTATTATGGCTAGATTCTGCTCCCAATATATGTACATTTTAGCAGCAGTTTGTCCCTGTAACGTTTTACTATAATGGATTAAACTTGAGATATCAAGAACAGGAAGCTTCTTTAAGACTCCTGGTAACAATCCTTATTTATGACTAAAGTTAAAATATTTTATGATGAAATAGTGCTAAAAGGGAACTTACCTAGTATAAGCTATTTATTCTGCAATCTCAGTCTCCTGATGAACGACGACCTTGGTCACAGACATATCTGGATGTTGCTCTTTAGCTTCTTTGATGGCCTGAACAAGAACCTGAAGAAAAAGAGTATAAAGAACACATTATTTCTGTGCTACCTAATATAATTTGCAGCCTGACATCCTATTTGGGAGGAAGGGCACAACCTGTGTTATTTTCAATTAACATGATCAAGTCTGACACTTGAGGAAGACTATGTTAGTGCTATCATTTTATCCAAGTGTTTTTTAAATTTCATTTTAATTATATATTTAACAAAACAGCTTCAAGTGTCTCTGAATGGTCTCTTGTTATCTGTTATCACCTAGAAACATTTGAACCGAGTTTAAAAGACTTTCAATGCTTCAAAATTAATTTCAGAATCTGAATTTAAAGTTACTTGTCTATCGTTAAAATTCCATTGTCAATAATTATAACAGTCTCTTACTTGATCATGATCAATGTCTGTATCTCCTGTGATGACAATTCGTTTTTCAATTCGTGTTTCTGAAATTCCACCTTTTACAGTCTGTCATGAGAAAACAAATATTAACATTAACATTTTTATAATTAAAAATGATAAAACCTACAGAGATTTTAATTATTTTTGAGAGAAATGCAATCAATTTATTAAATAGGAATGTAAATAAAAATCTAGTTCATAGGTAGCATTAGTATAAACTTGTATCTTTTGAACGTTCCTTCTCATAATTATGATTTCATAATTTTCAATTTTTTTTACAAAATTTTACAAAAATAGCAAATCAAATGTCTCATTCTTGCAAACCACAGGAAAGTTGCTTTACAAAATATAAAATTAGATTATATATAGCATAAATGATTTAAAAAATGAATATAACAGATTCTTTTTTAAAATTAGTCTGGAAATAGAAAATATTTAGTCAGAATTCAAGCTCAAACTAAACTAAAAAAATGCTTTGGTAAGAAAACTTGCAATTCCTTGATTCTCAATTTTAATGTAGACATAATTGGAGGCAAAGCCTTGCTTTAAAACTCCATATTACAAGATACATTTGTTTAACTTGATTTTCTCTCTGTGGTTTCTAACGCTGGCTGGTTTTCCCAACTTCATCATAAATACCAGAAGTTCAAGTATCAAAACAGGCTGGTTCTTTATGCAACAAAACTTTCAAGAGGGCATCTGTAACTCAGAGTAAGTCATACCTTTTGGCTCTTAGTGTATTATCATCATCATCTTTATATTCACTACCAAAAGTTGTAATTTAAACTTGAGCTCATTGCAACTTAATAACTACTAATATAGCCAGGGAAATAAGGTCCTTTGTAGCCAGGGAAATAACTTTATTCAGCCAAAGAAATAAGATTCTTCTCTTGAATACAATATTTTATTTCTGACACAACCACAATTATCATCAAAACACAACAGCGCTTCTGTGTTCTGTGCATTCTACTGCCCAATCCTACGAGGATTATGGAGGCACACAGAAAATGAAACTTATGAATGTAATTATTTTTTAACATGCATGCAGCTTATCAATGAAACAGTGGTTTTTTACCTTTGTTATCTGTGTGGTTGTAGTGCTGCTGGTGGTCTCTGAAGTGATAGTGTGAGCAGTTAGGAGAACTCCAGGATCTAAATCCCCACTGCCATCATCAATCTAAGACAGACATACATGAAAATATAAATGACTTCCTTGCTCACCTACAGTGAGCAAGTCACTTGGCAGGAAAGACGACATTCATAAGAAATATTAAGAAAATGGTTTTCCTTTAAGTCTATATTTGGGCAGATTTTTGAAAAGCTTCCCACACAGCTCCTTCTGGTACCATCCAACATGCAACTTATCTTAGTGAGATTATACCACGGGAAATTTTTAATTCAAGAGTACAAACTAATAAAGATGACAGATGACTTTTTTTAAATTCTGGGGTTATTACTTAAGTTTCCAGGATCCAGAGCAGTTGTCCACAAATAATGATTCTGGACAGCAATGAACTCACAAATCTCCTTCACCCCTGTGTAAGCCAGCTCAGACTTGCCTTATTCTCCTAGTTTAGGGCTAGATATCATTTGGCTAATAAGTACCACATTCAAAAGATTTTTCAGGAAACTTACAGCCACAAAGTGGCCTCATCAGGCATGGGAGTAGAGCTGTTTTAGGATCCTGGAGCTGGGCGCTTGTTAATGTGGTAGACCCTTATATTATTATAATAACATTGTAACACCAGATGTGAAGCAGCCTACCTGTGCAGCTTCGTAAGTTATAGTCTTGGTCTCTGTGTGGACAATTGGAACGTCTTTAGTTGGAATTTCACTTTTCACAGTATTAGACACATCAGAGATGGTAACGGTCTGAGTTTTCACAAGGGGGGGCTACAAAATAGTTTCAAAGTAAAATACACTTAGTCACCTTATATCAGTATTACTTAACAGAATTCCAATGTGCAAATTATAGGTGCATCATGAACTCAACTATACATCACAACTGTTATGTTGTTTGCACTCATTTGCAGAATTGTGAAAATTATGATGAAATGCAATGATTTCACACATTTTAAAAAATCCAATTGGCCAAATAATGGAAATGGATTCACTTCAGTGATCAATATTAATATTTAATGAGAACTTAATTACAGACATCTATATATGTGCTCTACCATGTCAGAATAATACGGGTTTTTTTACTTGCCACAGTATTTATTTATTCAGAAACTAGCTGAATTTAAATTGAATGTAGGAAACCTATAGAGAGTGCATAGGCAACACCTGCAGTTTGAAATGTGAAGTCCACCAGTTTATATTAAATCACTGCCAAATCACCATTTATGGATATTTAAGTATTAAGAGTAAAAGGAAAAGAAAAATCAGCTATGCCATCACCTGATAATTAACTCAAAGAGAACATAATGTTAGTAAGAGGACCGTGTGACCATCATATCCCTTCACATACCCAAAGTATCACCTTATTATCATATTGCATATTTAGGTATTTTAGCAGATAGGATTAATAAGGAAGGAACACTGAAGCAAGCAAGCAAAAATAATTATTATTATTATAATAAGCTGGAGGAAAGTGGTACTTCTAATTCTGCTGACTCCAGATCTTATTGTTGTAATGAATAAAATATTAGTATTAATAATTAGTAGTTAGTTTTTCTGATATATTAAAACATCTTTAGCTTTTTGAATTTCCCTTTCTTTGCATGAATCAAGAAAAATGTGTTTAATTAAGACATGTCAATTTCAAATAAGGATGAAAAAGGGAGTAATAATTTATACAGACAGTATGAAACTGAATAACTGGTTAGTTTTTGAAAATTACTTCAGGACATCAAAAATTAATCCTTCTTCATGGATATGTAAAACTATGCTTGCTCCAGTGTTTGCAAAGTGACTCAGAAAATGTAGCACAAGCGTTTGCAAAAGATATTCTATGTTCACATTTACTACCTGGAAACAGCGAATGAGAGCAGGAAATTCATGATCAACATTTGGATTGTAATATTCTCCATTTAGCTCTCTAAGTGGCTTGCTGGTAAGTTTTGTTTCTTCAACACCACAGGCTTCCTCCTCTTGCTCATAGAGGTACAGTGGAGGTGAAACAGGGATTACAGATATTTCCACCTCAGCCTGTTTAGAATCCTCAGCTTCCTTTTCCATATTTGAATAAAATCCCTTTTCACACCTTAGATCTTCCTTGCTCTCAGGAAGAGTAGTGGCACCCTCCTCTTTCTGCTCCTTGCTGCTTATGGAAAAAGAATCTGATTCATGAATTTGTGTAGATGCCAGTGTGGTTGACATTTGGCTCTCACTAAAGCCTACTGAATGTTTTGAATCCTCCCATTCAAAGTGAGAGGCAATATTTCTCCCCTTTGTCACATCATCTGCATCCTCTTTGAAGGGACAGTCACGCACACTCTAAAAAGAAATGAATATACAAAAAAGGCCAGAAAGAATTAGGAATAGAATGCACTTCATCTAGAAATAGTGCAAAATTTAGAATAAGACTTAGTAGGGCCTGTGTACATTATTACAATGGCTGAAAATGAATATTTCAAGTGCGTTCAAAAAGGCTACATTATAGTCACTCTGACAGACAATAACGGTCGTACACAGTCAAGGTCAAGTAGTTGTTTATATTCTCCTCTTTGTCAAAGGAATTTGTCCTGGTCCAGCTCCAAGTCTGAAGTGGGCAAAGCAACTGCAGCTTTCTCTGTAATGACAACTACTCTTTCAATAAACAGAAGTCATTGGACCAATCAACCAGTCTCCTGCCAGCAGGAGAATAATGCTACTTTTGAAGAGGTTGGACATTCAGAGATCATGGCAGTAGATGCAACCTGCTATTTGCCATGTTAAAGTGGAATAAATCTGGGGAAGGAGGGGGTAGCTTTTGCTGCCCCATTCAAACTATTTCGGAATATTCGCTGTCCCTTCCTGTCCTAAACTGCTACAAGATGCACTGGAAAAATATATATATTACATTACCTTCACTGCTTACTTGTAAACCACAGATCGTACTGAAAGCTCATTATGTTTAGAAACCGTAAGCACATAATTAATGCTTTCATATTTTTGAGAAGTAGGATTCTAAACATATTTCAATTTCTTATAATTGAAAAATAATGCTGTCCATCTTGAATCTACAGGTATAGCTTTTTAAAGAGAAATGAGGAATTTCTAAATTATTCCTTTGGAAACATCAGTTTTTCTTATGATTCATAATCTGGATTTTTCATACATAGATCTCGGAGCCATTTTAATTGCCGAAGCTCTCAACAAAGTTGAATTTCTCAAGGCACAACGTAAAGTATTGCTGATTTTTTTTTATACGAATGATCCAAATGATATAACAAGAAAATCCCAGGCATATAACAGAGATGATGAGAAGCTACCTCATTATTTATATATTTACAATGATGTTGCTTGACTGAAAATATCTGACTGCAAATGTAAACAGGAAACTTTTGCATCTATTTTCAACTTTTACTGTAAAATGAGTAGCAGCATAATATAAAACAAAGAAATCCATTCAGCCCAATAGAAAGCAGGGATATCTCTAGCATCAAAGCCAAGCCAGAGTATTTCACCAAGAATACTATACTGTCTTCCATCATGCACCTGTTGGAAAGTTATTAACTAGATCATTATAAATCTCAGCACGCTCTCCTATTACAATTTGAGGAAAGGAAGAGTAATAGAAAAAAAGGTAAGGATGAAAACATGCTTAAGATTAGAAATAGTATAGAAAATTTGCCTGGTCCAATCACCCACTGAATAAGATATAATATTTTAAATAGGATAAGATGTGTTGGCAAAGCCAGAAATTCATGAATGCCAGTAATAAAGGATACTTGTTTCCAAATCTATCTTTTCATATTACGTGAAAAGCCACAGGCAATGAATTGAATTAATATTTGTAATGAATGATGTGGCTTTGATGCAAGGGATGGAATCTTATTAAAAACATTATAAAAGTTTGTCAAATATCCAAAGACTGAGAAATATTCTACAACAAAGTAAAATTTTGTACGATTTTGACTGGAAGTGACAAGAAATCACTAAATGATTATGCAATAACAGATTATGGTTTTCTAAAAAAATGCCTTATCCAATGAGGGAAAAGGAAAACCAATTGAATAAGGGGGAAAAAACTTCAATAATCACTTATTTGTCTACATTAAGGTAGTGAATTCTGCACTGGCTAAGCAGATCAAGCAAAATTTTGGTTTCAAAAATCTTTTTGTTTCTGTCAAATAGTACTGTATTTATAGGGACTATTAATATCAGCAATTAAAATTTAGCCTCTATACATCTGATAGACAAAATATTCAAATAGTGGGGCTGTTTAGATGAGAAAACACCAAGACTGAATGTTAAGTGGGAACTCGTGCTTGTAACTATTGGTTCTTCCCTTCTCAATGATTCTTTCTAAAGGAGTCTATTCCTATCCACCCTGTACCCACCATGGTAGCAAAATGATGACTATAGATTATGACGGCATGATGCAAGCTTTGTATTTGTGTATGGTATCACATTCAAATATACAAAGTCTATATTATAACACACCATTATATCTGTCCCTACCTACCATCAAATCAGGATACCTAAGACCTCTTTTGTAAGTAATGTGAGCTAAATATTTTAACGTATTGTCTGCCATTTCTGCTTTTTTTTTTAGCTAGCGAAGCAAACCCATATATGAGAGTAATTTAAAAGCTTTTTTTCTTATTAGTGATGACAGAAACCTCAGGTTAAAGAAATGAACACATTAAGCAATTCAATGATGGAAGCTTATTATCAACATATATTAGCAGGGTTGTATCAACATTTATGAACTGTAGACTTTGAAGCAGGACACAAAAACTTTAACTATATTAGAAAGTTTGTGAAGTTCAGGGAATATTCTACCGTGACTATAATTTTTATTGGAAATGCTATAAAACAAGCACGCTCACTTTCAAAGCATACCAGCTACAGAAGTTTAGCCACATACAAATTAGTTGAGGGATGGACAAATATAATTTGATAGGATGGATTTATCCTTGCTATGTAGCCTTTTGAGAAGTCTTCTGTATATTTACAGTAAACAGATTTGTTACACCAGGAATTGCCAGTCTTCCTTTTGTATTAACCCTGCTACTCAATATTCTTTCTCACATTCTATAAGGAGTTCTATTGTGGCTTTCAGAAAAGTTTGAACAATATTCCTTTAAGTGTGCAATTCAATGGAATTAAAGATAAATTAAATGGGAAAGAGACTTCTGTATTATGAAAGAAGCTCTACTCTGATATTCAAAAAGATTATATAAAACAATGTTCCAACACTGGAGGTTTTGAAGAAGAGATTGGACAATCATTTGTTTGAAATGATATTGGGTATCCTACTTGAGCAGGGAGTTGGACTAGAGGACCTCCAAGGTCCCTTCCAACTCTGTTATACTATTAGTGTAAGACTTAATTTGCACATTTCTATAGCTGGCTATCTATATTTTGTATTTTAATTATTTGTATTTGATATTACTTCTTTAAAAAAAAGCTCATTTAAGAAAAAGTCCTACATTGATTAACCTTGACTGTGCAAGACTGCTCCAGACGCAGCTGTTAATAAACAGTTTATTACTTGAATCAATGAGCGTACAGTTTACTTGCCTTGCTACCACTAACCTGATTTTAATTCTTTTAAGAGTATTTTAAAAAAAAACAGTAAAAAAAACTAGCATGTTGCAAAGCAAGTGCCAGCTCAAGCATTACATTTAATCCCAACAATGCTTCTGAATCCCACATATATCCAAGAGGTATTCTTAGTAAATAAAAATAATGGAGGGTTGTACCCGATTATTTTTGAGAAGCCCCCCTTACAATGCAATATAAAGGAAGCTGAGATGAAAAAGAGCATCTTAAGAGAACAGCTGTATGAAGGACATCACTCTTATAAATCTACTTCATACAAATGAATCCATACTGAATGCTTGACAATTAATTGGTGATGGTCATAATTATGCTCTCAAAATTCCAAGTGCCTCACTTACCCAAAAATTGGAGAACTTGGGAACTTTGTTCTAAGATACCACTTAAAAGCTTTTTGATACAAATAGACATAGGATAATGCAGCTTTTTTGGTATCTTTGAACATTAGAACCACCTAAGAGGTGACTCAAGATAACTCTTATATTAATTTGCATATGTTATAAATTTCCACTCAAAAGCTTCTACTAATTTGTTAATAGCTCCATTATTGACACTGCAGTGAATGGAGACAGCTATTCTTGATAGGTTTTTGGATCAGGCAGATAATCTATATTAAAATAGCATTCAAATAAAAAAAGAAGGGGATAAACTAATATATAGTGCAAGTAATCAGTGATAAACCCCTTAAGATGTTGTTTTTCAAAAATCTTCTGTAAGAATTTTCCTTAACAAGTGGATATTATGGGTATTTCAAGCAATGTTTCAATAATATTAGATTATCCCCATACTGGAAATATGTACAGAAGCAGCTATATTTAAAATGTTTAAAATACACAATTGGTAAGATACTACACTCACCAGCAAGAATTTCCAGAGACCAACTAGTGAAAGATAATACATTTCAAAAGGATCAATAAACTTTAAAAAGCAGCATTATGAAGCACAAAGATAACGTTCCAAATTTAACTTGTTTTCATTTGTACCATTCCTACATTAAACTTCAAATGTTTGTGGGGGGGAGCAATAGGCTACCATTAATTTGTAACTGCAAACTGGATGGATTTTAAAACTTGAATTACTCAATAATAAATTGAGTATTGTGGTTGTCTTTTCAAAATAATCAGGGATAAACAAAGGATAATTCTCATGAAACCATAAAATGAGTATGAGAAGTTTGGTTGTATGGATCAAAACCATTCTTTTAGGTATTCTGCGTTTTTATTGCAATGAAAACTTTTAGGGATAATGATAAATGATTAATTTCCACTAGCTGTGAAATTATCAACCTTTTCCTTATTACTACATACTTAGATAGCTCTCTAAAATCTTAGGTAGAGCCCCAAGTTTTGCCTTTCAAGATTGTTAAGCTACTGACTGTTAAGTGAATAAAAGGATTGTCCTGAGTTATTACTGAATAACAATCCGTATATAAATAAGATACAGAAAACAGAAAATAACACTTGCTATAATTCCCCAATCACTAAATGCAGGTTGATCCAAACCTATGCATTAGCCATTCTCTTACTATATGATCTCTTGCCTAATGTGTTTTTTTTTAATAAAAAAAATACATGTACTTAATTCAATGTTTTATAAATAATCAAGAACAAACTTGACCCAAGTAATTTATGGTTGGAACTCACCCAAATGATCTTCTCAGTCTTGCCATAGTTCATAAAGTAGTAAGATGGAAAAACATTGTCACTCTGAACTCACCAAATTTCCTT